GTGTTTTTGGGAACCGCTGACTAGATAAAGCGTGATATGTAAGGCTTCCGGGCGGTGTGTGACACTTGCAATCCAATAGACACCGGTGTCTAGTTCATGTCATCATACGCCCTCTTTAGAAAGGGTCAAACTTTAGAGGTGCCCAATGCATCTCAATCACCGATCGAGCCGATGACATCTGCGACAGCCAGGGAAGTTCATGTGTTGATGGTTTGAAGGACCTTAGTTTAGAATCAAGTTGTTTCATCCAACTAGTCTAGGTAAACTCCCAGGAGTTTATTGACCCTGTTACGGCCCCGGATGTGGGAATTTTCGTCATCTTACTTTATTGGAAAATCCCCCAACATCAAGGAGGTGAATAAGGCAACCTCAATAACCCCACCGAGTCATTATTACTCGATCAATTACCAATACGATCGAAAAAAATCAGTCCGGTTTGTCCACAACAGTATTAGTTATAGGTTTCTATGTCCGAAGGAGTCAAAAGCTTGGGAATACAGAAAAACAGTTGTTATCGGTGCTCAACTTCCGTTTTGTTTACCCTACAGTTACTGCATCCAGTATTTTATATATTTTTAACTACCGTAAATAGCTGGAGCATATGTTTCCTCAGAAAAATTTCACCGCATTTCTTTCACACAACTAGTTTACTTTGTTTCCGTCCGCGCGAGAACCTTCAGTTTTAGTTTGTGTTCCGTTCGCACCACATTGCCATAGTCATGCGTTAACGCAGCGAAATCCATTTAGGGTTGCTTTACGATTGGTGGTAGTCTATTTGTTTTACGTTTCTGGGTTACACGTGGTTTATTCGCGGTTCTGTTCAGTACTTGTATCAATGATTAGGGCAGAATGGTTTTCTCTAGGTGAAATTTACAGTTTTCTTCCATTTGTACGTTTAATTGTTTATCTACATGTGCTAAACAAAGGGTAGGCTTTGACCCTGTAAAGAAATTTCAAACACCGGTGAAAGATAAAACTCAAACGATGGGTTTGATGTGATGTTCAATGACAGCTTAGGGATTCGAACGCATGCATCAACGACGCATAGGTTCCGCACAGCGTATGCAGTACCAGCTGAGCTACAGAGCTATACAGATATCACTGATCTTTTCACATTTCGACCTCCCATTCGACACACAAAATACTATTGAAACCACCAATCAGACAATCAGGTTTTCTTTAGAATCCACCGGTTGTACCTTTGAAGTACATGCAGTTAGTTGTTCAAAATATTGAAGTTGGATACCACCTGGAATGAAGAACTAATCACACTGCATCCATTAGATTGTACTCTGCCAAACAGCGTAATGTAATCAAATGATAAGGCGAAAAATAAGACGCAGTGTTTGCAGGAATTTTTGGTTTGCATTTGCCACACGTTCTCCAAATCGGTTCTTTCTAAAGCTGGGTGCGCGTCAAATCACGTCTTTTGAGGAGGGTGCAGTTTTGCATCGGGAACTGATGATTTTTGAATGAGCTTATGCATCCCGGTTACACATGGATTCCGTTCAACGGAATGGTTAGAAGTTATTAGTTGCTCGCGGTCTTGTTCAAATGTGTGGCTTGATGCTGTCCACAGTGTTGTCAACCCCTGTCTTTGTTGAGATTCACACGATCAACCACCTCAATAAAACCCTGATACAACAAACCCAAGCGTAGATAACATCGATAGACAAGACCGATTAGGCTAGTTCAAACTGCAGAGTTGTTTACTTCTCAAAAGGATGTTTAAAAGGTAAGCCACAATGGCACTGGCGTAAGAAGACAAGTTGTTATCATCACGCACGTTTTGAATGACGTTATTCGTGTTTGTCATTTTTGAAGTAGGACAAGCAAATCTACGTTATCAGCAAAGAATCTATTGGCAGTGCTTCCAATGCTGTTTTCTAACTGCCAAGTGAATTCGTTTGCATCATGTTCCCTTATTTTACCCATAATGTTGCAATAAATAATTATGCAAACTGAATTTCGCTCCTCACCGTGAATTATTTGTACTTGATTCGTTCTTTATTCCTTGAAAGAATTTCGCTTTGTTTTCCGTGTGCTGACGGTTTGTCTGATAGGATTGCTTCAAACGGCGCGAAAATGAACTATTTTATAGATACGAACTAGTCAAATGTCTATCTAATACCGAAAGTGAGCGAGCACTTATATTCCTGATTATTGTTTGAAAGCTCTTTGGGAACAATTCAAATGAAATGTGTACCATTACCATTATTGTAATTAAATCTCATCGATTGCAGTGGTCGTGCCACATAAGACTGCTGTTTCGCAGTCGTCTACTGATTAGGTGGTGGTGTTTCGGACATGTATTTGTTGACATCATAGAAACGAGCAAAAACGTAACCGCAAGCTTTTATACTGAATTGAAAATACTTCAATACTGATCGCTCTTATTTTAGTACTGCAAGCGGGCGTCTGCCATATGTGGAATTTAGGTACACTCTCAAGCAATGTCAAGTCAATAGGTCTGAAACCATCTACTGCACTGCCTATCCAATTTTAAATTCATGATTTTTTAAATGTCTGATTTGCGTGATCACCGGAAACGAATCCAACTGACTTAGATCATAATGGATTGAACGTTTAAGGTACATTGAGCACGAGAACCCTTTCGTGTGTCAATTATGGGCTCATAGAACTCGGTATTGACAGCCGTACCGACAGTGCCAGCTAGAAGAAGGGACAACGATTATTTCTCAAAGCTGTACACTCGGTGAAATCGTTTAACCGACAGGTCGACCTCGGGAAATCCGTGACCATGGTGGACTTATAGACACTACCAGCATATAGACGCACGGAAAGACGGTAATTTCATTATTTAATTCATTTCATTTAAGTTTGACAACGAGTCCTAGTTTGGATCGACACGTTAGAATAAACCTCTTACAACTCAGTGTTTACCTCACTTTTTGCTCGAGACATATACATATCACCGTCTTGGAGACAAGCATGGTGCAATCGCTAAAACAATGATAATAATAGAGGAGAGGGGTGGAGACTGATTAAATTTAGGGGGAAACAGATAACAGGCAGAACAAATGAATGAATGAATGATGATTTATTGGTTTCACGGTACATATGGGGGATCAATGTTCGTGTTAAGTCAAAGTTTATACATTCTAGAGAACGATTTTCTGCAATTCCCGTGGATATGAAAACGTTGCTCTTTGAGATGGTTGGCAATTGTCATACAATGACTCAGAAGACAAGTCAGTCATGGAATGACTATACCTCGGTATGAGGATCAACTCACGGGGATGATTTGCTATTCAGAGGGAGTTCGAGCATTTGATACGCCTTTCGCTGTTTCATAATGCGTAAATTGCGGGCACATTGGAGATGATCATGAGAAGAATGGGGTTGAAACAGGACATTTCGAGACGCCTCGAACAACACGGACGATATTCCGAAAATCGTATTTGATCGGATTGATCTATTCTGGGTTTGTGTTCAACAATCGGCGATCACTGCAGATAACGAAAACGTGTGAAGTATTTTTGCAATGTGTGTTTTAAGGTATTTTAAGCATGCATTCAATCAGTAGGATGCCAATAAAGCCAGACCATCAAAATTTTTAACCGTGAATCCATTCAAAACTTTCAGAATAAAGTCCACTGAAACCGAATGTAGCGACACTAAAGTTTGAAGAAATAGTTTGCGGAAGCTTGAAGCAGGTACGGCAGTGAATTAGCGCCTCAGATGCTCAATGTTTGGACAGCAAATAATGAATGTACTTCAGTTTTGGTAATATGAATAACAACCCATCACGGTTGTTATGACCCAAAATAATTCCATATATATATTCCTAAGAAGTCAACTTCGCGAGTGGACGTGTAGTTTCTTTTATCCCAAAAAAGACACTAACGTTGTAGTTTTCTCCACAGTCGACCAAATTTTGACTTTTCAAAGAGCCATCGGATGTTCCCCATTTGCATCAATCGGTGAACTCGAATCACACTGTTTTCAATCTTGTACATCTTTTTATCTATGAAAGCATTCGCACGACGTTCTGTTCTATCAAAGATCGATGTTTGATAAATAGGTGTAGAAAATATGTGTGAAAGAAACTTGCTGTACTATTAGCTAACAACTTTCAAATTGAATTTTCAGGAGGCAGTTTGTATGCTTCTTATTCTTTGTGAGTACAAGCTACTCAAACCGGTGGGATTCGCGGGTACTTCAACGCAATACAGTTTATCACACTGTGATTGCTGTTCCACTAGCGATGAGTTACACGAACCAGTTTGTTGAAGGTTATATGACAGAAGTCTGAATCAGTCGGGCAAATTGCCTCATCCCTTGAGATCACCATTTTGGTATTCTCTTTACCAGACATCCCACTTACGAACAAACAAAATGATCCGTGTGTTGGTACTTTCTAAAGATTGCAGTGTTTGAACTATAATAGAATACCTACCTCCGCTCGTTACGATGATTTACTGATGAGCATTGATCATTTTTAACTCAGGCAATTAGCGCAGAGAGGTTTATAATCTATATGTACTAAAGGAATGAGTAATGTGTCAGCAAAACACCACAGCTCAAGCGGTCAACATAAGTCAATCGTGCAACAGCCAAGGAGCGAATTTCGCGAAACTATCACCAAAGGGGATGTATTGAATACACAGTCCTTGCTGAACCTGACTGAAATTTGCAGTGACCACAGGCCACCAATGGTCAATGAGAAGAGTGGTTTAGCAAAACCTTCTAAATACAGCAACGCTTGGCGATCAGAAAAGCTGGTTAGCCAGGTGAGCGTTTCCTGGTATATGACCAAAACAGATGATCCGAGAAACAAGGAACTAGACAAAAACACTGAAGAACAGTTCATCGGGTAGTCAGTCGTCTATGAAGAACCTGGGCCATAAGAACGTTGTTAGACGTAAATAACATGTGGTAGACACCTAGTGACTAAATATCCAGGTGGCATTGTGGTTAAGGTAGGTGCACGAACTGGTTCAAACATGCAATAGATGAATACACGGGTGTTTCAGGTGTACACCTGGCACAGAGTAAATAAGGTTAAGTGAGCTTGGGTTATGAATCCGAGGGAGTAAAATGAAACATAAAATAGGAAAGAGTAGAACTGAGAGACGAATGTGATCAAAAGGTTTGAACATGGTGTGGACATTTCACTGGGATGGAGTAATCTAACAAAGGGAAAATGTGCAAAAGAAAGTGAACAAGTACTGGCACAGCAATCGGGCTTCTCTTTTATCTGTAGACCACTTGGGAAATGAGATGGGGTAACCTATTAGGATAATAGTAAGCTTGCTGGTCACATCCTAGTAGGTAGCAAAGCATACTTAGGACTGTTTAACACATACAAAACAGATCTTACCCACGATCTCAAGGGAGTGCACATTACCGCATATACTGCATTATCACCCTGGTAGGGCTCTGCATAAAAGCACCGGCCGTTTGCCTAATGACATCCGGGGGAAATGCTCTGTGTCGAGTGGCCTGCACTCCCAGGATTTTAGATGTTAGGAAAGATTTTAATGAAACATTTATCAGATGACGGTAAAAAGATATTCAGGTTTGAGCACTAGAGTGATCATAATTTCCTCCAACTTGCATCCCACTGTCATCCTCTGTGTGCTTTTGACCGAGAAAAGTGTTGTTCCTACTCATACAGGAAGATAAATTCACAGTTTTGTGCTGTTAACATGTAAGTTGATCTCTAAACAGAAGATCGTTGAAGATAACGGTGACAAGAATGACAATGATCCCGATGACGGTGGTGGTAGTCATCTTGATCTACCGACTGGGAAATCCAATCCCAGGTTTTTGAATGCGTTCCGCATCTTGTGGTGCTCCCAGATCGACTATAAAGGTGACTGAAATAGATGGAATTACAAACTGCTGTTTTGTACAACCGGTTGGGATGAAAACAAATGGAGGTCAATACCAGTTAATTGCCCACACTCTCTGCTCCTCGNGGGGGGGGCAGAGCTGCCGCAACTTGGCAGATCACATATTGCATGATAGCAATGGTGTATGTTGTGTGATGCAAACGTGATGCAAACAATGTGATCGCAATGGATTTGCGAGTTGGGCAAATGTATAGTCTGACGTTTGTCCAGATAGTTTTTTTAAATTTTTGTCAGTCAGTGAACTGATCCGTTTCTGAACACATTTGTGAGTCTTGCCGAAAATAATCAATACTTCCATTTGAAAACGACGTCTGAATGTGAATATGTTTTTTTCACGAGATTGGTAGAATCTAACTACTTTGCGTTATCGCCTCAGCTGAGTAAGAACATTTGTTTGGAAGAACAATGACTACATTTTAGATAATGACAACCATGTACTAGGTAAAATAATTTGATTGGACAGAGCGAGGGGGTATGAGAACGCGCTTACGCATTGAAGACAAGGTGGCCATTTAATCAAGGACTGGTCACAAATCCCACTTGTGTTCAAATAACTCCGTGAATTATATCAACCACTGTCGGGTCACCAGGCGGAAGGATTGCTTTAAGTTGATGCGCATTCCAACTTCAAATAGATGACGCGTAATAATCAGATCCGGCATTTACGAGCACATTAGAGTCACGCTTTTCGGGTTATGTCATTAGATCCTAGTGGATAAACATTCCGCAGTTTTGTCGATTAACGTGCTACCAGAAGTGAATTGAAAAGGTTAATAAATAAGGGGGTAACTCGAAAATCCAGTCCACTCCTGTGGAGTAGTTTGCCATCAGACGAGCTCGTTTTATAGAGGCTGTCGGATCTTCATCATGATTACCTTTGACACGCAACGACACGAGGGGGCACCTTTCTTCACGTCGTATCTCTTAGTTTCAGCTTCTGTTTCATCATTATAGGCGATCCTCTGCGTTTGAGTTTACAGGAGAAATTTGAATTTTCCTTTAGTCTTTTCTGTAGAAAGTAAACCCATCATTAGAGTTCGTTTAAAAACTGCAGGTTCCGAATTTCAGATACCTTTTCTTTGATATTGCTTCTTGAAATACACCTGTTGAGAGACGCATCCTGTTTATTCTCATAAATTTGGCATCCAGGATTTTTAAAAAATGACTGAAATTCACACAGTATGTTACATATTTTTAAACGTTTTTGATCGCATCATATTTGCATGTTAACGTAACGCTCATGGGGAAGTAAATTGCGGCAAATTTTTATTTTAGTGATGTAACTTCGGTAACTCATTGATAGGAGTTGGTATTCTGCCTTCCACATGTGATATCCTATGAATTCTTGTATTGTTCAATGTTTGAGTAGCTTTTGAAAACGAGCATTTCACCGTTATATCCGAATCATTTTACTAACTCAAACGACAGTATATCCAGGCACTAATCAAATAAACTGAATACCTGTTCCCAACATCTTTTTGTCTTTATTCGACTTTTTCAGGTATCGGTAAATAAGTGGCATTGGTTCGGAAGATTGCATTCCGATATGTAGACGCGAATGAATCGCCGTGTTACGCAGGTCACATTTTGTCCACACAAATGTTGCTCAATCGCCCAGCGAAACCGAGAATTCGAATCAATTCGACTGTCGTTTTTTCACGCTCCTAGAGGCTACAGCGCTAACTTGTGTCACCTACTGCAGAGAATTTCTCGTGTCATTTTTCTCTGCTGCTGCAATTCCACCAACTCCTTGTTTGCTCAAAATCCTTGGAATTGTCAGTTTCATCGCTTGATGTTGAAAGGATTAATGGGCAACATCTTAACTTACATCATACGGTATTTCACGTCCGATGACAAAATTGCATTTGGACTATCAAGGAGGGCGCTAACTGACCGTATTCACATTTTACCC